TCGTGCCCCTGCCGATACGAGCTGCCCCGGCTGGGCGCAGGGCGCGGCACGCCGCTGCTGCGCTGAAGTTGGAAGGTCTGGGGAGGATATCCGGGGGAGAAACCGGTTTGCTCTTTTTTCGGCGTAAATAGCGGAGCCCGGAGGTAGGTTCCTGTTTGCCACAGAGCGAAGCAATGCGAGGGACGGGGTCCCAGAGCATTTTTTAGGAAAAACCGAAAGCCACCCCCGGCGCACTGAAACATTCAGGCTTTTAAAGCACAGCGACTGATGCCGAAAACAAACGCCGTTCCTGAAGTGTGCCTCATGCCCATTTTACAGACGGACAAAGCCAGGCAGATAAGAGTCTTTGCCAGGAGTCAAAGCCAGTCACCAGAGCTGGGAGAGAAGCCAAGAAGCCTCCTGGGGCAGGGAGCGGCACTCGGGAGCCCACGCTCACCCCTGCCCGGGCTGGGAGCGGAGCAGAGAGGATTCCTCATGCTGCTGTCAGATATTGTGTCTGGGATCGGTTGCCTTTTCCGGGATGAAATAGGTTTCAGAAGGTTTGAAGGATTAATCACCACTGGCCCTATTTCTCCTTGGGAAAGGGCCTCCACCCAGACCTGGCAAGTCAACAGGGAGACAGCTCTGACCATCGAGCTGTGGGGTTTCATTAAAACGTTCTCTCTCAACAAATGCCTTTTGGTTTGAAATGTGACTCGCTCCTTTGAACAGGACAATGTGTGGGTAAGCGTTTACGGGCAATAAACCTGGTTCTTTGCAATTGTACGTGAGAGAGCAGCCAGAGCGTGAAAGTCTGATTAAGGTGGGAGTTTGCTCTGATGAGTGTGAGGGAATTCACATATTACTGCTATAACATGGCAGAATCATGTTTTAAGAGTCACCAAGTGACACATGGAGACTTGCCTTAACTGTACAAACTTGTCTTATTGCTGCATTTGTACATGCAAAAAAATCTGGGAAACAAAGCTGATGAGAAGGAATTACAGCCATCTCCTCCTCCTCACTGGATCCGCAGAGGTGTAGGTGCAGGATGGAAGGAATGGGAAAATTCTCAGCCAAGTTAGAGGTTAGTTATGGATCTGGGACTTAGGTCCTCACCAGCCAGAGACCTTGGCAGCCCTGGGCTGCGCAGGGTGGAACAGACTCTCCAAAGCACAAGTCTGGCAGCCAGAGCCTTAGCCCAGGGCGCTGGAGAGCCAAGCAACTTTGGACCAGTCTTTGAAGTCCGTAATTCAGTTGTCTGTTTATTTAAAATATGTTGTAAGCACAGCTGCTTTCTGAGGCATGTATGGTAATGATGGGGGGGAGTCACATAAATAAACTGGCTCCACGCCAGACCAGTGAGTCAGCGTAAAGAGCTGAAGCGCATCTTAACAGTTAGAGGATCAAAAAAAAAAAAATACCAACCAAAAAACCCAAACTCATTTTCTGTTCAAATTTGGGTATGAGCATTGCGATTGGGAAGATAGGGCAGCTACCACGTCAGCAGGCTCTTGCAGTGCCCAGAGCCCAGGAATGAAGAAGGTGGAGATCTTCAGGGCAGAGGGAAGGGTGAGCATGCCAGAAAGAGCCTGCAGGCATCCGCATCATCCTCATTTTTGCTGGGAAATCAAAGCTCTTGCTTCAGTTGCCAATACAAAGATTTGGAGCTAGAATAGAAATACAATTTGTTTGTTTTCTAATACAGTCAAAATTCACTACATGGGGTTTTCTTTTTTTGGGGGGGATACAAATTAAAAATATTACAAAAGTCTAGGTTAAGAAAAATAGATATTTCAAAAGTAAAGTTTCATTAAAAGAATTACTAAAACATCCAGCATTTTTAAAGACACAGTTCCTAGCATCTCCTTCATCCAGAGTTAATCCAATTTCACAGGTTTTGGTCCCTCAAATTCCTTTCTTTAGCAAGTTCACTGTTTGCTGGGAAGATTTCACCCAGGTCTAAGAACAGGATTTTTCTCTTGTGCTTTTATAATACATAAGTTACTCAGCAGTCAGACCAGGTGCTGGCAACCAATTGAGTCTTCTGCATTTAAAAAAATAGGTAGAAAGCTGCAGTGACTGAAGGACACTGAGCAGACCCTGTAACTCAGACGCCCAGAAGGAGCTGCCAGTCTTGGGCTGTGCTGGGAGTTTAAAAATGCAGAAGTGAGGGGACAGTAAAAATCATGTCCCTGTTCTGCGGGCGTACAGAGCGCGTGTGCTTGCGATTGCTGCTTCATCTTACGCTCGCGTGGTGACAGCTTGTCAAAACAGAAAGCGGCTGAGCGTAGGTAGGCTGCAGCGGGAGCCGAGCGCCGTGGGAGGAGCTGTGCCAGCGGCCCCATGCACGAGCTGAAGGTGCTGCCCCGTTTTTCCTCTCTCCAATTCACACTTCCATCCCTGCAGTTTTAATTCCCTGGCAAAGTTTTCTTTTCATGATCTTCCAAGGTCTCCTGATGGATTTTTTGTCCAGCTAAGAGTTGCTGTCACTAAGAAGCAAGGCTGACAGCAAGCAGGTAGACCATGTCCACGCTTAAATGTGCTGCAAACGAGCACAAGCCTCTGCAAAACAGAGCAGCAACCTACCCTCCGGTGTCTGCACAAGAGAGCACCGCTGGGCAATGCTTCTGGGCAACATCTGGCAGCACAGTAAGGTCTGGGGAGAAGAAACAAGCCGTGAGACAAGAAGCGAAGGCAGAAGTTGGTCACGGTTGGTGAACACGGGCTGCTTCAAGCACCAGGGCTTGCCCAGTCCAGGAGGGCACTGACTGGGCAGGGGAGGCGTGGAAAGCACTGGGAGGGTGCAGGAGATGAGGGTGGGAGAGATGGAGATGGGGAAACAGAAGGAAATGGGCAATTTCACAGTCCTGGTGGCGAAGGCCAGAGGTTTCAAACAGAGATACTGGAAGGAAATCAGTGGCACGGCACAAGGGGAATCATGGGGTGGTGGCAGGGGAGGAGCGATTCAGCTGCAGGCTGTGGGGTGTCTAGAAGGAAGCAAGAAAAGGAAACTATGCTCAAACCAGGGGGTTGCCAGTAGTGAAACACTATGTTAGAGAGAGACTCATGAGCAAAGCCACTGACATGAGTTACTCTCTGTAAAAAGCAAACAATAGAGTCAAGGGCTTGGAAAGTGCTGAAGTTATGGGAAGGCTCTCAGATATCTTACAGAAGGTCACATGGAATAACCAGGGGCTGAGTGAAAAAGGAAAAACAGAAGACAGAAAACAGTAAGAGAAGAGAGGACACAGGAGGACACCAAGCGAAAGCTGAAAGTGGCAGCATAAATGTGGGACTAATAAAGAGAGAGAGGGGTAGATCTGGGATATTCGTGCTTATTTCAGTAAAAGGCCACAAGAGGAATTAAAAGATTAGATGAAGAATAAACCAGGGGGCAAAAAGAGAGGGTGCACCAATCTGGCTCCAAGGTGGCACAGCAGAAAGAACAAGTGCTGTAGCAAGGCAAGTCAAAAGTAACTCATCTTTCATACTTGAGCATCAAATCAGTAAAACACAGCTTTGCAAAGGCTGGTAGGAGGGGCCCCAACCTTGGGGACCATGACTTCATCTGCACTAGGAAAGCCTACGCCAGACTGGACATGAGGCAGTACACAGGCACAATGACTTCCCAACAGCCCAACAAGTTATCCAAGTGCATCTTCGCTGCTACGGAAAAACTAAAATTTGGGATTACACCAATGGCAGTTTGTACCTTGCAAATATACCAAAAGAAGAAAAAAACCATTATTTGATCAACTCCCAGTATTTGTACAACTCATCCTTATCAAAGGCCAGCACTCATTTCTCCTCTGTTCTGTAGGTACAAAGGCCAACTTACTACAAGCAAAGTATTCAGGACCAGCTGCAACATTAGCATCCAGGACTTTCCCAGAAAAAGGGCCTTTTGCAAACACAAAAGCCAGGAGCAGGTTTGGAGAGTAAACCTCCCCAAATGCATAAAGAGCCAGGATGAGGTTGACCTATGGAAGATTTCATGCCTTGACAGGAAAGAAATATTACAGACTGGTAGGCAAAGATCCACGGCTTGCAAGGTTACGAGTTAATCCCTGTGGTTAGGAGCTGGCCACCTGCCCAGCGCCGAGCGTGAAACTGTGTTCCCGTTATTAACAGCACACTCCTCCTTGTCCTCCGCCTTCAGATGAAGGAACGGACACCTCTCGCCCCACCTCATCACTGATGCCTCTACCCAGAGCTTCCATTAGAGGCGCTTCCAGTGCCCTTGCGTCAGGTGAGCATGTGAGTGCTTGGCATGAAATCCTATGGGCGCTTGCTTTTGAGGGGGCTGTTTAGAGGGAAGGGGGGGTTGATTTGGTCGTGGTTTCCTCCTCCCAACTCAGCACAGACGCTGTAGTGACAAGCCAGAATTACGCAGCGGCAGACCTTCAGTAACAGTGGCTTTAGTCTCACAATTAATCCCTACATCTTTTCTAATGCTTAAAGTCCCCTGCTGTGGCCTCCCTCCTGCTGCAGCGGAGCAGGGGAACACGTGGGGTAGGTGCCATCTCCAGGGGTTTCTGGGGGAACACCACCTGGACAGCAGAGCATTTCTTTCTGCCTAGGTTTGGGGGCTGGCAGCCTTTTACATTATGATAGGTCTGCAGCTTGTTTCTTTCCGCCAATCCTCAGACTGCCATTAATGCCTGTTACTTACCTTCCTCACAGCAGGTTGGGAAGATTAATTAGAAAGATTGTCTCAAGGTGCAAACTTTGCATCTGGCTGGAAATTTTGAAGGTCAGGAATCAGCTCGTTTAACCCGGTATCTCTGTGCCTGTGAGAAGCTTGGAGGGGGAAGATGTTTTAAGGGCCAGATACAGCTTACAGTCAAGACATCAAAGCATGGCACACTTCTGGCAATGCACAAGCTCCTTGGACTAACATATTAGCAACAGATACCGTCCTAGGGAGTTTAAAAGTGACAGCAATGAGGAGGGGAACCTCAAAAAACACCCTCCCAAAGGACTTTGAATCAGAAGGAAGACCCTCTGGCTACCTGAAAACAGGCATTTCTGGACAGCCCTAGGGTCAGGGCTGAAGGCTTTTGGAAAGAAAAGATCACATTAGGCAAAGCAAGACGCTCCTAAAACATTTCAGCGCTGGACTTTTACTGAAGGATGGTTAAGCTTTTAGTTAAAACAACACTATTTTATTTGCAGCCACGTCCACTCCCTTCCTGTGACCGACATAAGCCATCGCTCCTGATAGTGACCTTGAATTTCTCAGTTTCTGGCCTTGAAGAAATCATCCAGCCTATAATTCACTTGTGGAACAGGGGTGATCCTACACATATACTTCACAAAGCTGACTGATAGAAACTTGGAAAATAATTGCCATGCTCCTGTTCTCCAGCCTGGGGGCTACACCTAGAGGCAGCAGAGACTTCCACAGAAACCCAGAGCAGAGCCATGCTAGCCAGATGGGTACATCAGCAAAATGGGGTCTACACCTTCCTAAGAAACACCTGCAGTGCTACACATTTCTCTAACCCCTGGCTTCTTTCATCTGTTCAAAGTAGTAAATGCATGGCGATAGTCCAGACCCAGAGACACACCCCTAGATCACAGGAACATGAACAACATTATGAAGGCTGATACAGAGAGCAACACTGATTTTGAAAGCAAACGTTGAGTTTGCAGAGGATTCTGGTTGTTAGAGGGAAGACCAGAGCACTACCAGAGAAGAAACATGACATTTTCTACCCAGCTATCACATACTGGTCCCATTAAAGGGCTTTCCACCTCCTATTGGACACCTGTTGATTGGCAATTAATTCAAATATCTCCTGTGCACTGCACTTGAAACTCATCAGTGCTTTGTCATCATCTGTGAGCTTTCTCTCCAGTTTAAGCAAATATTGTACAATAATCTGGTTTACACTAAGTGCACAGAATGTTTAGCCATAAAATCCTCTGTGGCATTCAGGTATTTGACAAGCTGAAGTGTTTAAGGGTGTGCCTGGCATGCCTGTTTAGATATACAACTGTTTAGTGTATTTTTGAATCCAATCTCAGAGAGAAACTTGGCCTCAGAGTCCTTTGGAACAGAGAAACCGTAAACAGGTTTCCTGAATCATAACCCCAAGCCCTTGGTTTGGGCAGGCACTTGCATAACGTAACCCTTGAGAGGAACCAGCCATGCTATGTCTCGAAGCCAGCTCAGTCCCCCAGTCCTGCTGCCCGAGGCACTTCATCTTCTGCTTTCCAGATGAGTTTATTCATGGGAAGTTCCCCCCATCTGTTCCCATGGCTCTGGTGCTTTCACTCAGGTCCTACTCCTCTCCTGAGAGCAACCACACACTGCTGGTTTCCTGGACCAGCACCCCAAAAAGCAGCCCGTGAATGGCCAGCATCCCCCCCTTGACTCCAAGCATACCAGATAGCTGTACCTGGCTGGTCTGACTGCAGAGATGCTCTGAGTTCATCAGGTCTTGACCATCTGTGAAGCAAAAGAGCAGAAGGAGACTTAATGCTGGAGCTGCTGCTCAGAGCCCTGGGCAATGCACGCGCCAGCCCCGCTGGGAAACAGAGATCCTGACAGTTCATGCATCTTTAATGATGCTGCTCAGCAGAGTACACATTTGATAGCTGAAGGCATAAAAGCCTCACCAGGAGCAGGAGTGTTAGAAGCCTTTGTCCATCTTTCAGGGCCAGATCTAGTTTCTACAGTTAATGAAAGTCCCCCCACCCCCCCGTTAGTTTTAGCAGGACTGGACTCAGGGCCTGAGCAGCTACGTGCAAGGAGAGCTACAGCTCAGACATACGGCTGTGAGAATCAGGGACCAGGTTGTAGGGATTTAAATACAGATATTCCATGTTTAGGACTTTCTCCTCCATAAGAAGGGTGGCTTTACCTGTCAGCTGCCCTGATAGCGATGTTACCGTACAGACGCAAGAGACCTGCAGCAGCACTCGAATAACCGGGGTTACGTTCTGGGCAGTATCAGAGTCCAGCCCATCACACGTGTCCAGTGTTTCCAAATGAGGATACGATGCCTTTGCTCTTTAAATCCATAAATGAACATTTAAATAATTGGCAATCAAGAACAGTGAGAACTAAGCAGCACTAACAGACACATCAAGAGGCACCAGAAGCGCAGCCCTTTATCAAGGTTACTTGACACTAGAATTACAGACTCAAGGTTAAGGTATCTAGCCTTAATTGTATATTCAGTATTACACAACTCACACAGCACTAAAAGTAACACTGGGATTTCTTTTTTCCCCTGAGGCTATCGAGACTTGGTTTAGTGATTTTTCAAGACAACCCAGCAGAGCAGAACACACACAGAACAAACCCCGTGCATCAACAGTTATGGGAACACACAACTCACTCCTGCCGCAAAGGTGAGTTTCACTTCGCAGCATCCCAGACTTTTCCCACTTTTCCTGAGCTTTTAGCAAAGCAGGTGAATGTTTTCTCCTTTCTTAGTGCATTCAGCAGTCGGTGCAGGCATGGCTTGGCATCTATTGCAGGTCAAGACTTTTCTAATTGCTTTCATGTGTATTCCCGTTAACTAGCTTTGTTAATGTTATGGAATAAATGAAAGACCATTGAGGTCCTAACAAGTAAACAAAAATCAAGATGGCAGCCGTAACAAGAAAAGTGCTGATGACAATGTACACTGTGCTACAGTATTTCCAATGAGAAAAAATTGTTTCTAATCAATATTAATTAGAAGTTTCCTGCTCAGAGAGCTCAAGTGCTTGGTAAGAGCCTGGATCCCAGCTGTACCAGCCAGTCTGATAACAGACATGACTCTCCTATAGAGTTTGTCTTTCTAGTATGTTTTGACACAAGGATGAACTTACAGGAAAAATAAATAAATACTAAGAGCAAGATGATGGCTGTTTTGTGGGCGAGTTTTGATCACATACTCTGCCCTTTTCTTCAAATTGAACTGCTACTTCCTAGTTCCAATTAGAAATTTGCTGCCTGATCAGGAAGACCGCAGGGGGCTTCATTTCGCGTTTTTACCGACATCCCCCGTCCCCTCCTCCCTGTGGGGCACGCCTGCTCCTGGTTCAACAATAACAGAGTTCAACCGTGCAGTTATTCAGCTGCTATAAAGGTGACTGTATGGATGAGAACTCACACCGCTGGGGATGAAGTTATCAAAACTGAGTCTTTGCCACTTACATTACATAAACATCTGCAATGTAAACATCCATTTCAGTCTGAAAGCGTTAGAGGTGTTGATTCATTAGCAAGGACATAAACGGAGAGCTACCACGCTGCTCAAGTTCCCAGGAAAACAGAAGTGTAGAAGGGAAGATGGCATTGCAGAAATATAAAAGGACAGGGGGTGAAGATATTACAAAGCACGAGACACTTCTAAATTTTGATAACTGCTTAGCATTTAATTTCTCTTTTTTAATTCCACCCACAGGCAAAGGAATAAAGCCCCAAATTTTGAAATCAGTCCTCTCTTGAACACTCAGTGCGGAATCCCAGCAGAGTTAATGGTGCAGTGACTCAGTGCTGGTTACCAGCAGAACGTGAACTGGGGACTTGTGGCACTAAACACACCCCGGAGGGAAAGGGCCAGCTCGCAGGGGTACCTGGTTGCCCCCAGTGCTCTGCAAGCCTAGCTAAATTACTCTGCCCTAAACCCACTCCTTTTCTAAGGGTTTTTGAGAAGGATTATTCTGGAGGAGAAGGAAAGAAGGGGGAATTTGTAATGCTTAATCTGAGCAGTCTTAATTTCTTAAGGACCTACAATGTTTTCATACTCACAAGAGCAATACAATGCTGCAGATTCTCTACTTAGAGTTTGGGAAGAATTTGGGGCTGCTGTCTCCCTGGCTAGCTCACAGCAGGCCGGACTGTGGACAAGGTGTTCCTCGGTTTGATAATATGCTTTGGCATCCATGTTAAGTTATTCCCAAGGGGCACTTGCAGTGGTTGAAGTGGGAGATTCCTGGTCTGCCTTGTGCCACCAGACCTCTACATCCAGGTTTGCTGGCTTGGGATGAAAGCTCTCAAAAAACAGCCACTGAAGCTGTCAGTTGTGGTGGGTTAACCTACCCAGCTCTTCCTCAGAAGCCCCTACTCAGCATTTCAGGACGCGAAATAACATATAACAAAATGCTATAGCTAAGCTTCTTTGGCAAGTCTTATATTTTCTTGATGATGGTGTTTTAGAGGCACATGGAGGGGGAGGCATCAGTGAAGTCACCAGAAATACAGATTTATATCCAGTAAGTCTCACATCTGCGGTATTATCAGTAAAAATTATTTTCTTGGCTGCGCCTTAAATGGTGCTCCATGGAATAATTGTGATACCTGGACTACAGCAGTCTGATGTTAAAATATTGGTACCTTGTTTCAAATAGATATTCCTATCCCTGACCACGAAGCAGTGAAAAAAAAATCTAAATGTGAAACAAAGTAGGAAGAAGTAAAGCTTCCCAAAAGCAATGAATATTGGTTTCGGTCTGCTTGCACAGATATCAACAGAAGCCTTGTCTCGTTATCAGACTGAGCACTTACAAATCCCCTAGTAATGCCCCGTCCCGAAATATCAACTCTGCTCAGACAAGGGGCAAAATCTTGCCTTTTCCTGTATGTGGTAGGTTTTAAGTCCTCAGTCAGGGGTGTGTGTGTGTATATACATACATACAGCCACAGAGCATAACAGGAGTTTCAGGTTTGACTTTCTTTAAAAAAAAAAAAAAAAAAAAAAGTCACAGTTTGCAGCTCTCATGAAAGCACAGATATTGAGAGCCACTTTGGAAGCCAGGCTGCAGCACACCTCCCAGCTTGGCGGCATCGTGCCCCAGTATGTGTGTGCCCCAGTATCATAGAATCATAGAATCATAGAATGTTTCGGGTTGGAAGGGACCACTAGTGGTCATCTAGTCCAACCCCCCTGCAGTGAGCAGGGACACCGCTAACTAGATCAGATTGCTCAGAGCCCCATCCAACCTGGCCTTGAATGTTTCCAGGGATGGGGCCTCCACTACCTCTCTGGGCAACCTGTTCCAGTGTTTTACCACCCTCATTGTAAAAAATTTCTTCCTTACCTCTAGCCTGAACCTACCCTGTTCTAGTTTAAAACCATTTCCCCTTGTCCTAACACAGCTGGCCCTATGAAAAAGACGTTCCCCATCTTTCCTATAGGCCCCCTTTAGGTACTGGAAGGCCGCAATCAGGTCTCCCCGTAGCCTCCTTTTCTCCAGACTGAACAAGCCCAACTCTCTCAGCCTGTCCTCATAGGAGAGGTGCTCCAGCCCTCGGATCATTTTTGTAGCCCTCCTCTGGACCCGTTCCAACAGTTCCATGTCCTTCTTGTGCTGAGGGCTCCAGAGCTGGACGCAGTACTCCAGGTGAGGTCTCACCAGAGCTGAGTAGAGGGGCAGAATCACCTCCCTCGACCTGCTAGCCACACTCCTCCTGATGCAGCCCAGAGTACGGTTGGCCTTCTGGGCTGCCAGCGCACATTGCCAGCTCATGTCTAGCTTTTCATCCATCAGTACCCCCAAGTCCCTCTCGGCAGGGCTGCTCTCGATCCTTTCTTTCCCCCGCCTGTATTGATACTGGGGGTTACCCCAACCCAGGTGCAGGACCTTGCACTTGGCCTTGTTGAACCTCATGAGGTTCACACAGGCCCACCTCTCCAGCCTGTCCAGGTCTCTTTGGATGACATCCCTTCCTTCTGGTGTGTCAACCTCACCACTCAGCTTGGTGTCATCCGCAAACTTGCTGAGGGTGCACTCGATCTCGCTGTCTAAGTCATTGATGAAAATGTTAAAGAGCACCGGTCCCAGTACGGACCCCTGAGGGACACCACTCGTCACTGATCTCCATCCGGACATTGAGCCATTGACCACTACCCTCTGGATGCGACCATCCAGCCAGTTCCTTATCCACCGAACAGTCCACCCATCAAATCCATAGCTCTCCAATTTAGAGAGAAGGATGTTGTGGGGGACCGTGTCAAAGGCCTTGCAGAAGTCCAGATAGATGACATCCATTGGTTTCCCTCTGTCCACCGTTGACGTCACACCATCATAGAAAGCCACTAGGTTCGTCAGGCAGGACTAGGTTCGTCAGGCAGGACATGTATGTGGGCAAAGCCCTGGAAGCTGCCTTGCAGAGCCCAGCCCAAAGCTGGGGAGATGTTACAGTGCTCCCCAGGAGCAGCGTTGAGGTGTGCCATTGCCAGTGAAAAGGTGTAGGGAGGGATGTAGAAAAAAACCTCTCCTACTTCTTTTTACTAATTCAAGCAGGCAGCTCGTTTCATTTCTTAAGACAAGAACTGCAGTTAATGGTTGCTATATATTCCTTATTACTGGGAAGCTGATGTTTTTGCTGTCTCTGCTCAGCATAGGCACATAGCAGTATTAGAAGAGAAGTTCGTGTGGTTCCCTTTGGCTCTCACACATCTATGGCAAGTGGCACTACAGCCCGGGGAAGACCCAATTTAGACATAACCAAGAGCTCTTGAAATAACATTGGACAGGCATGAGACCTGCCCCTGCCTGGAGTGGCTGCAGGAACACAGCAGCGCATCAGCAGAAAGCCCAGATGAAGGCACACCAGCAGCGTGTACCTGCTTGGCCCCAGGCTCACCCTGGGTCACAGCCTTATTTGTCCCCGACCATCTCAGCTGGGTGCTACAGGAAACCTCTGTTTGCTGTGAATTTAAAAATAACCAAAAAGACTCCTATTCAAGGCTCTAAGTGCTCTAGCATTGCACACAACATAATGAAGTCTCAGCAACATTAACCCCTCAAGAACTCAGCCAACACCACTCCACCTCTTCTCCACTGCGGGAATCATCCACTTCCCCTCCTTAAAGTCCAACCGATGCCTTCCATGATGTGCCAACAAGGGCACCAAATCAATTTGTGTGCCATCAGAAACACCCATGGTTGGACACATCAGTGTAGCTCAACCCAACATCCAGAACACAGGGCATCGCTAGCAGAAAAATAACTCGAATGGTTCATTGGTGTCCTCTACCGTCCCCCCCTCACATGCACTCATGCAAGATGACAGCCCCTCCCCTTCAGCAGCGGTGGCCAGCACGGGCACGGCCAGGCTGTGGCTCAGCAAGGCCGCAGCAAAATTGGCAGGGCTATAAAGGCAAGTGCTCAGGTCACTGGCACATCTGACTAAACTTGTTCAACCTGAATACTTCATTTCAGCCCAAGCCTTAAAATACCCACACCACCACTAACAGACAGGTCCGTCACCCCTAGCACCGCTTGGCACCCAGCCCATGAGAAACAGGCACCGGTTCCATCAGCGCCTTCAGCAGCATTGCCAAAGCTGTGCAATAGAGATATTCATTCGCTATGGGGCCACCAGGCTGTTGTCCACACTGTGACAGCCATGTCAAAGCACAGGAGGAGGAAGCAAAGATACAGCCACTCTCTGGCTTCTTTCCTTCCATTTTATTACCCTTAGCCACCTCCAGCGTTCAGCCTGGTCACACACAGCTATGGCAACAGCGTGGGAGGGTTTCTGGGAGTGAAGGTCAACAGACTCAGGAGCAAGAGAATCAAAGCATCACACAGGCGACTCCATCTTACGTATTATTCTCAGATGGCTGAAAGCTGGAGAAATGCTTGTTTTGCTGCTGGTGAGACACTTCCCCTCCCTTCTCTCAGGAGCTACAGTAGGAAACACTGTCTGAGAGTTACCATTAAGCCTTCTCTTAATTCAATAATCACAAGAGCATTGGCTTAGGTCTATCCACAGCTTTCCTGCTTGTTGTTTTCTTCTATCTAGAGCAAGTCTCCTTCCAGCAAACCGAGGGAGTCTGCTGCCATTGCAGGGTTCCTGCAGGCAGCTCTGCTCAGCAGGAGACAGAGGCACCCACCCAGCAAAAGCACCACTCGAATCCCATCCTGAGCAGCCACCCATCCCACAAAGTTTAAGCCAAGCAGGGATTTGAGCCCGGGGTTTAACAGGAGTTAGAGCATTCCTTGTGAGCACCTGGGGCGGCGTGTCACTGGGGCTACCCCAGTAGTGAAGGAAAAACAACAAAGAGGACCAGTACCTGTTTCGGATGAGGCAGCCTGTTTCCCTCCTTTCCAACAACAGCCACCAGCAAATGCAAATCAACAGACCCAGAATTTCTGAAATTACACAGTTGAGAATAAAACCCTTGTGAGATAAAGCTGTGATTCTCAGCTGGACACCCCACACGCTCATTTTGCCCATGCTAAAAGCCATCCCCCTGAGCTCACCCCCTGCCCACCCACACCTCACCCACTCTCTGACCCCACCACCAAGACCTCAAACCCCCCAGACCAACCAAACACCCAGCACCACCACAGCTGGGCAGAATCACCTCTATTCTGCAAGGCTTAGAAATGCTCTCATCACATGTGCCGTGTAATTTCTGCAGTAACGTTACAAAGCGAAGTGGAGGAGGTGAACAGTTTATACTGCCTTTTTTAGTGGCAGGTGATTAGTTAAGTTGCAGGGTTTTTTTTTCTTCATCCTTCCCTCTTCTGTGAAAAATTCAATTTGCCTTAAGGCAGCATTGAGAGCTGATACTGACCTAATCCCTCAGCAGCCCGGACCTGACCTGCTGCAAATTTCCACCTCTATCACGAGCACATAAACCACATTCCTCTCCCTGACAATACAATGGCCCCTGGATCCACTTACCTTCAGGCCCTGCTTAAAACCTGGGCTACAAAACACATTATATAACCGTGAATCAAAAGTCAAATCCGCGTGAGCCAGCAGGTGAAAATGCTATAATGCGTTTTGCTTGTTTGGCAAGCCCTAAAAAGCATCGTTAAATATTTTCTATAGTTCTTTCTTTAAAGGCTTACAGTTTTTCCTTCTCCTCCCTTCCCTGCTAGGATCTTAAATCCTTTCTGCTCAGCAAACATTAATTTTCTTTTGTCCTGCTAGTGCTAAAATTGACCTCTCTGTCCCTCACTCTTCCTCCCTTCCCGGCACACCTAATTGACCATTATTGCTAATAATGTCAGCAGAGGTCTGGGAGGGATCCTTAATACCAAAGTACTCCCAAGGAATCAGCTCAGGGAGCAACTGCAGGCAGAAATAAGCACTTATTTCTTCTTTCAGCCCTGCAGAAACAGATAGCTCGGAGTAGACTCTCCTCCCCCTACATTCAGAAGCTTAAGCAAATAATTTGGAGGTCATATTCTAGAGCACAAGTTGTTTCGACACCCTCTTGATAATGCCCTGCTCAGCTGTACTCTCCTGAGGGTCAAACATGAGCGGAACAGTGGCCTTTTCCTCCAGAGGGGTGGACAAATGGGTGTCAGCGTGCAGCTACAGGGAAGGAAAAGCACAAATGTATTTACATTGCACCAAGAATTGGGGATGGTGGCTAAGGGCTCGGAAGCAAACCGGCAATGTGTGGGCAAGGCTACGGCACATCATATCAGGGTAGGGACGAAGCACATTCCAGCTGCGTAACCCTGCTCCTGCTTAAGTCATCAGCGCTGATTCCACCAGGAGAAGATAAATGCTCCCAGGCTTGGGAATGTGACAGCAGAGCATGTGCTGTACGGCAGATAAAGGGATGGGGTATCGTTGCGGGGATTGTGGACCTCCTGGGATTTACCAGGGCATTGCAGGGATGGGCAACGGTGCCAGCTGCACGGGTTGTGTCACCTGCGGGCAGGGCGGCTGGCATGGAGGATGTCCCTGGTTGGTACAAGAGCAAATTGTAAAGACGCACCAATGCACCTTCCCAGAGCATCCCCAATTTAGAGGGCCGCACCGGCGTGCTTGACACTGATGTGCAGGCACCTGGAGGTGGGTGAAAATGTCTCCATGTGCTCAGCCCCCTGGTTTCACAAGCCTTTCCTCATGCACCAGCTATGCGCTGCTCCAAAAAGAACACGCCGAGGGACTGGGCATGGCAGCAGGGTTGTTTCTACTTCTCCACAAATTTCCTACTTCCCAAAATGGCTGGTAAATGCAGCTTAGGCTGAAATGGGAGAGTAGTGAAAAATAGAGCCTGTCTTCTGGAGAGCTCTGACAACCAGAGGCTTCTCATTCTGTGCACTCCATGAAATGGTGCTGGGAGGAGGAAAAGGGATGACTTGAGAAAATCCCACTGCTCCCCCCGCACCTCGCCTGCAGCTGGAGAAGGGGGATGCTGCAGGCATGAAATGAGGCTCCCTGGGCTCCCTCTCTCCACATCTCAAGCAAGGCATTTTGCATTTTGTATCTTGCTTCGATCCTATCTAACAGCTTAAACTTCTTTTTTTCCAAAAGCTAAATTATGTAAAAAATCTTTCCATTCAGTCATTTGAGGAAACTCTCTTTTCTTTGGAGAAATTATTCTATCTTTATGTTCAGTAAGGAAGAAATTAAACATGATCGTATTAATTATGGCTCCTCATTTAATACAAAACTATAATCAAATGGCTTATATGTCTAAACAGTTGTGGCAGCAGTATTAAGAAATTGTGACATTAAAGGTTTGCATTTAAGTTTGAAATGTTTAAATTATAGATCTCAGAAGAAACCGATGCCACATTTAGAGAACTACAAACTTCTTATTTTCCAGTAAAAACATGAAGGAGCAAAACACTTAAAAATATGCATACTTTTGCTTTAATTTCAAGAAAGTCCTTAGGATGCCTATGAAATAAAACTAGATTTTTTTTAAATTTTTTTTTTCCTAGATTTAAACCACAGTGCCTTCTTTAAAAAGGAAGGGGCAGTCTGCTTCAGCATCTTCTGACAAAGCCCGTGATGCAAAAATATGCTGAGGACATGAAGACTGCAAAGCTGGAGCAACAGAAATTGTGACTTCTGGCAGGGTTTGACTCTCTGGGTTCGTACCAGCCTGGTGGGGACTTCTGGTGTCTGTGGCTCCAAAGAAATCAGCCTCAGATTTGAGGATTGATTTCCTGAGCCAGAAAACCCTGGAGCATTTCTGTCTGCATTTCAGGAAAAGACTTCCTTCAATTCAGGACCTGGAGCTGCTCAAACACCCTTCTAGAAGGAAGAAAAATAGGAAATTGTCAGTGTAGCTGCTCAGAACAAGTCGGGGGGGAGTTCCTTCTGTGGGAAATACCAAATTGCTATTTTGGGTTTAAGATCAGAACAGTGGGGGTTTTGGGGGTATTTTTTTTTGTTTGTTTTCTTAATATCTGCTTCTTGCAGAATAGAGACGTTCACATGCGAACCAGCTCCGCTTCCCGTGTGGCTCGGTGTAGCTCAGTCCCTCTGCTGCTGGGGCAGGCAGCTGGGTATTGGAGAGTGCTTGAAAGTTAAAGTTCTCCTTGAAAGGGTGACCGTCTACTTAAACCTTCCCCATAAAGCCTGGAGCTTGAGATAAAACCCCTCTCAATGAGCCCTTCTTCCCAGATTGTAAGGGTATACTTTGATACCTGATAAAATCAATTGTTTGTGACTGCTGCCTCCTGTGATTGAAATAAAAACTGCCCTCCATAGCTCGCTAAATTGGCAATTAAAGACCCATTTCCAATCTCTCTGTAAGGCATACGGCACAACCAGTGCTTATACACATTTCAGATCCCAGCATGTAAAATAGCAGAGTAGGTTGAAGGTGAATAATATTATAAAGTGCATTTCAAGTTGGGTAAACACACTCAAGGGGTTTATGGCTCCTGGGAATTGTTGTCTTTGCTGCCTGGTGAATCTGTCGTGTTGTGAAAAACAGCATTCATTGAGATTTTTAAAATGCATTCAAGAGAACAGGCTCAAGGGTAATATATATATATGGATTATTCCCTCCATTTTTGCATCATTATAAAAGCTGGTTTTGTTAATACCCAGACAAATGGATCTGGGCAGTGCGGGGCAGAAGCAAAGCCTCCTGTGAACAGCAACTATCACAAAGGTGTAGGATGTGCAAGTTTTACAGCACTTTGCAAAGTCAAGCCCTCAGGAGCTGGGGAATCTCCCTTTCCAGCCTCAATTCAGCCCTGAAGAGAGGGGTCGGTGGAGCGGCCACCCCACCCTCATGACACTGCAGACTGGAAGCCTGAGCAAAGCTCCCCCAGATCACACGTGTTTGGGCATCTCCCCACTCTTCCAGGCATAAATCTGCAGCCCGAACCCAGTAGAAAAGCTTTGCAACCTCCTAGTTTTTCTCTTCCTAGAAAAACACATGAAATTCCCATAACTGCCAGATTCTTCTTCACATCTTCTCCATCCACTGGCAGTGCAGCACCATCAGCTGCTCCTGCCTGAGCAAGAGCTGTCAGCCCATGTCTGCTGCTGTGGCCAAGGAGGGAAAATGCTGGGCACAAGTCATCAACTTGGGACAGCCCATAATGGCATGTGACTAATTTCTCTTCCCCAGGTGATGGAAAGGTCCATCACTGCGTGGTGCCACCACGGCAGGGCACCAGCCCTTCTTCCCGGGCTGGAGCGCGCTTGCGGGCAGCCAGGCTCAACTCTTCCTGTTCCCAGGCCAGAGGATGCTCCTGGGGCTGAATATCAAAGGCCTGCTGTGAACAATGTCAGCCAAAGTGCATAAACAAAACCTAAAGAGAGGTCACAGCAGTTCCCACAACAAGAAGTTACCAGCAGTTAACAAAGGATAAAAGCAAAAAAAAAACCTGAGTCCCTGGCCCCCAGTTCCTTCCATCTGCACCACCCTTGAGCAGGAGGGTGTCCATCACTGGTGAAATCAAAGCTTTCCTCTCCATTGTTCCCTCAGCAGCCAGAGCAGCTCGTGGCCCTCTGCCACCACAGAGCTGGATGAAAGCATCCAGGGGCCCCCACATGATGGGACCTAGGGTGCTTGGTGGCTTTATATCTGCCCCAAGGAGTTGCAGTAAAGCCACGCTGCCAAAGCAGGAGGCAAAGCTGAGCTCGCTGGCCAGATGCAGTGTCCTGCCCTGGCCCTTCGTTGCTGGAACACGGCTTGAGGCTATCACAGCCGCTTCACTGCAGGCTCAGAACATCTGCAGTGCAGCTCTGGGCATAGCAGAGTGCCTCCGAAGCAGATGTTCACAGTCCAGCATGGCATTGCTACTCCAAAATCCACATCCTTGTGGAGCTCTGTAATTTGGATACCGTAACCTGTCCATTCCAACATATATAAGAGGGCAGATTTCTGCAACAGTGATGGATCCCATGTCAAGACACACTCCAGGAGTGTTTGCATGCCTCTACGCAGTATTAACCAGCTGTAATTTACAATCTTCCTTCCCGTTTTACACACATATCGCTACTGCTCCTATTCTTACACTCCTCCCTCGACACCTCATCACTACTGGGACTGGAAGAACCTTTTTCCAATACAGCTTTATATTTATTAGAGTAAATTAATGACTAAGCCCAGAACAAAATTGTTTTGACTTAACAAGCTTTACGTTGCCTTCGCTATATGGAGAGTTTGGCCAGATTGCAGTGACTAGTAAAACTCCGAGTGCCAATAGCCCGGGAGTTGCACTGGTGTCCCTACCTACCTTTGCAAGGCCACAAGTCTCCTCTGCTTCATCTACACCACCAGGAGCTTGCTCCAACACAGCCTCCATCAACGGCAACACTTACAACAAGGCCCAAGCAGAAAGGAGCTATTGAACAAGGAACTAAAAATTCTGTTTGCTATTACCAGCAAAATCAGGGTTTGCCATGCAGGGACTATCTTTTGGGGAGATTTGTATCCTAAATGATACTTTTCATGAGAAATCCACTTAGTATTCCTCTGAAATTCCAGGAGGGTGAAATCCCCCACTCCTTCATCTCATTAAGGATGAAGGAATGCCAGGTATGTGGCAGGAATCTGGGGTGAGAGGAGGAGTGGGGTATATTTTAACCAAGCTGCAGTGTAGAGAAAAAAAAAAAAATATAGTGACCTAAGGATCAGGGTTTCACATGTATTCCCCAGTGCCAGCCAGTTGCATCATGCTAATATGCACGCTTAACCCAAGGGACATGAAACTAAGTTTAAGGATGACAAAAAACCCCAACCCTGCCACGTTCAGAAATCAGAGGTGTTTTTCCTAATAATAGCCAAGCTATGCAAGGCATTATGCAAGCAGCTTACTAATAGCTCAAACCCAGTGCTAGCAGGTGGCATCAGCCTTGTGACCGCCCTCCTGATGGTAAGAACCCATGGTGGAATCCCAGGGGCATGTCATTGTGGATACATCCAAGAAAACAGTTTTGAACCTTTTTAAGGCATTTTGCCTCTGGACCCCTGACAGCATATTAGTTCACAGCTTCCAGGTCAAGTGGATTTACCTAAATATAGCAGGTGAAATGCTGGAAGGCAGCTCAAGGTGAGAAGGGTGACAGGGGAGGCCACGCCCGTGGGGCCCGTGTGCCCCATAGGACCTCTGGTTCTTCTAGCAGCAATATAAATAATTTCTAAAATTGTGTGGAGGAGCCCTGTGAAAGTCCCTGCCAGCCCCCAAAGTAGAGCAGAAAGACCAGACCAACAGGACTGTTTATTTGGACGCGGTTGTGCTGCTGTTCAAATGCAGAAGTGTCAGTGAGGCAGGCTCGTTTTTCTTATTTATAGAATCATAGAATCGCTATGGTTGGAAAAGACCTTTAAGATCATCAAGTCCAACCTTTAACCTAACCCTGACATCCCACCACTAAACCATGTCCCTAAGCACCTCATCTATCCTTCTTTTAAATACCTCCAGGGATGGAGACTCGACCACCTCCCTGGGCAGCCCATTCCAGAGCCTGACAACCCTTTCAGTGAAGAAGTTTTTCCTAATGTCTAGCCTAAACCTGCCCTGACGCAACTTCAAACCATTCCCCCTCGTCCTATCATCCGTTACCAGGGAGAAGAGGCTGAACCCCCCTTCGCTACAGCCTCCTTTCAGGTAGTTGTAGAGGGTGATAAGGTCTCCCCTCAGCCTCCTCTTCTCCAGACTAAACAACCCCAGTTCCCTCAGCTGCTCATTGTACGACTTGTGCTCTAGACCCCTCACCAGTTTTGTGGCTCTCCTCTGGACATGTTCCAGCAAGGCAACATCTTTCTTGCCATTCTCCTTTGAAGAGAGAGAGAACACCCTGAAAAACAAAATCTCCACATCAAAATCCTTAGTGGAAAGATAAGACTACCCAAAAACTGTTTGCACAGACTTGAACTCGCCTCCAAGCAAGCCTCAGGCAAAGCAGCAAGTCCCCAGCCTCCCAAGCTCATAGGGGACAGTTTTCCCACTGGGCATATGGAGACATTTAGGAGCACAGAGGATACCCCAGGAAGAGGTGCAGAAACAGGATGATAGTTTAGAGAGGAGGCAAATCAGCCTCAGCTGCAGCCAACAGCCTCCCACCCTTCCCGAGCATCAGGGCACTCAGAAAAGTGCCCACACAGCAGCCCCGTGCGCCACCACGGCAGCTATGAGGTTGTTGGGGCTGCAGGTTGACATAACCCCTCAAAATTTCTCCCACCCAGAGATCCACCAAGCACCCTTGCCCTTCATCTAAGGAAGGCACCCAATGCACCATGGTCTTCCCACTCTCCAGTACTTCATCATCCACCATGTTCCCGAGTAGTTCAAACCTGAGGAGCTTAGATGCCTTCCAAAGGTTTCTCTCCTCTGGAATTCATTTGACATAGGTTCAAATAAAGCCACACTTTTTCCTGGCATGTTGTAAAGCTCATTTGTCCAGACAGACTTGCAAAAAGCAGTGCACCAAGCTTCCGTGGGGATGAGCATCCTCTTGATGTTAACCGCCTGACTGTGGCTGCTGGAAGTGCAGGAACCTGGATGTCTTCACAGAATCTCACTGGCAACATAGAAGAAGCTTTCCCCATCAGCACAGCTCATTTGTTTCCCAACAGATGAAGGGAGAAGCTGCTTCATACTTCACCTCAGTCCTAAAATAAATAAAAAGCTAAAAAAAAATACTGTCCTGCCTAAACCCAGGAATTTGAAGAGCATAAAAGCTTCTGCGTCAGACGATAAATCCTGCTTGCTTCATATTCTGACAGCAGTCAATAGCAACTGCTTAAGAATAAAAGCGTACCTGCATGGAGTGGTCCTTACCATACTATGTGCTGATTCCAGCTTCAGGCAATGAGTGGTCTGAAGACCTTCCACGGCCCAGTGCGCATTAAGCATAGGTGGACCTATTCTCCATGATTCTATTTGACCTCCCCTCCTTTGCCACAAACCCCACCCTTCCCATCTTCTTCAGTCATTAGGCACTCTGTGAAACTCCCTGCTAGCACCATTCTTGGCTTAGCTTTGCTGTTACAGATACTGAGGGACAGAACTGAGGTCAGAGCAAACAGCCAGGGCTTGTCCTGAGTAAATAGACAGGAAAATGGATCCAGGTCTCCTGACTCTTGGTGCAGTACTCTCATCACGGCCTCTGCTGCATTAGGAAATGGAAACCAAGCCTGCTGCTCAAAAAGAGGAAGAAAAAATCCCTAAGGATGTGAAGAAAATAATACCATTAAAAAAACCAAGAAACCCGAAACTATGGCATTTTGCCACCCTAAGAGGTAGGGCTAGGCTCACGTAATGAACAAGGAGGGGAAAAGGTGTTTGCCAGCTAGATACAGGAAACGGAGCACCTGAAAAGAGGGAGTGAAAGGAGCCTCAAGAACTCTTGGCAAACCATGCCAGGGGGTTGAGCCATTTAAAACGGGATGTTGTTGAAGCTGCTGCGGAGGGACTGGCTGGCTCAGTATCTGCACAAAGCAGTGGGAGAGCGCAATGGGAATCAGCGCAGCTGCTCTGTGCCTGACATAGCCAACCGGGGTGGAAATCCCACCATATGACTTCAGGGATAATGTTAAATCCATTACAGCACTCTCCCCTCCCCTGCTCATCCCACACAAGCTTCAAAACTTCTGGTTTATGACTGGCTGCTAGGAGATAATTGCAGGCTGTCTCTGGAGGGATAATCCTAAATTTCAAGTGACAGTTCATGGGCATCTTCTCCTTCTTCTGAAATGCTGTCTTACACAGCACATTAAGTATTTTGGAGATTAATAACTGGAGCAAAGAGTTCTAATCTTGGTGTCCTAGTGGAGATTTAGCAAAGAAGGGTGAGCGTTTGAAGTCGCTATGGCACAGGAAACGTAAGAAGCCTTGAAGACCGAAAGCAAGGCTCGTATGCAGCTCAAACGGAAATCTGGGACATTAAACATGTGATCTATGTTTAGTCTCCAGGGCTTCTCACTGACGTGGTGTTTCCACTCAGAGTAGATCTTAGGGACCCTGCAAAAGGGGGAACCCAGTTCGAGCTCTCTTTTAGATTAAATAGACCAAGCTCACCACGCCTGTTAAATTGCAACTTATACTTTTGTATTCTTTGACCTGAATTAGGCAATAAGTTAATTGTATAATAAGGTTACAGGCTGCTTTTAACTTAATATACTGAGGACCAAATTGACCATCTCTGAACTGGCAGTTGCACTTTGCCAGCTTGCAGGACACCCACCAGGATAAACATGCTACAGATTCTGAGGCTGCTTGCACAGCAGCTCACTCAAGCTCACCCTACAATCGCTTGACAAAGGCCCTCGCAGTGTGAGTTCAAGTCTCCTGTCCACAGAATGAGTTTTCTTTCAGTAGTTTTCTTGTCGTAACAATTCCTCCTACCGCTCCTCACACAACCAGAAGCCCCTTTAAAAAGGAGCCAAGAAGGTGCATTACCGTTCTGCTCCCCTGGCATAAGGCAATGCACAGAAGGAAGAGCCCAAGACCATTCTGGGTTTGGTGACCCCTGTGCCAATTATATGGAAAACCACCAAATTCCGCACAGGGGTATGAGAAAACCTTGCCACAAAGTGTCACAATGGCAGAGCTCCGCAAGGACTCCGACAAACACTACTGTCAAAAATAACACCGTTGTGTCCTCCCACACTCAGCACCACGCAACTCTTTCCATTTTTCCCCTGCCAGCACCGATGCTCACATAGCACCACAGCAAATCATGTTGGGGAACTGAACTTTAATGGATAAAATTAATCCCATTTTGCAACGTTCACGCTTTTCATGGTGCTACTCCAAGCAACTGAATGTCCACCAGCACATTCAGAACAGCCTGTGACTGATCATGTTGTCCAAGTTCATTACTTACTCCAGCTATTGTGGGGATAAAGTAACAAATAAACAGCTAATATTTAGGAGATTATAAAATTATGCTTCCCTGAAGCCGTTTAAACAGCTGATCTGGCATCTCTGTTCAGAATTAGACAGCTCTGCTTTGAATTAATGCAAGTGAAGCGGTTAGCACAATTTGGCCAAACATTTAAAAGCAACATAGCCATCCACTACAGATACCCTGTCAGGCCTTCATTCTGGAACAGTTTTACCCACAACACCCTCTTATCTATTTAGCAACCAACCCCAAATATCAGAATGATTTCTGTATCTTGAGTAGCCACTCTGCCATTACAGCTAAAGCTGTGTCAGAAAGGGGTCAAATAGCAGGGGCACATCACATACTCTACTCCAGGTCACTGATATGAACAGAGATCAGAAGAGACATTTCCATGGGGTGACGCTTTGCTGTGTTTCAGCACAGGCATGTTTTTCCACATTCTTTACCACCCATAGAATTGCCTTAATGGTCCTGAAAATTAGTACGCCTTCCAGGCAGCTAGGGATAGGATCAATAGTCCAAACTTGAGGTTACCTGAAGGCAAACTCCCTTCTCCTCCTCCTCCTCCCCCTGCCCAACAGCCTGTTAGGTCCACCCAAGACCTGTATCCCACCTGAGAGCAACCAGCGCTGGGTGCCACAGGAACCATATGCGAGAGCAGGTCTGTAGCATTTCCCTCATACGCTCACCGAGGAATACACGACTGCAGGACCTCCTACACACAGGTGAGACCTCTGTGTTTGATGGCAGATTTTTCTTTTTTTAGAACGTAGGTATGGGTAATACTTTTTGAACCCAGAAATACGTGTATCGCATCCTGTGGCAACAAACTCCTTACTTCAACACCAACAAGCACCTCGTGTCCTTTGTTTTGAACCTGCCAGATGACAACTCATCCTGATGCTCTGCAGCCCTTGGGGACAGTAAGCCACCCCCTCTTCACCTTCTTTATAACAGTTATGGTCTGGATATTTTCCCCATAGTCTTACCGTTTTTCCAGCCTAATGCTTTACAGCTCTTGCCAAACTGATGGAGTCTGTTTAGGTTTCAGTTCAGCATTTAGTATTGATCATTCTTTTGGGAAAGCAATAGCAAGCTGTTCTGTGTGAGAATTGAATCCCCAGTCAAATTTAAGCTAGAGTACGCTGTGCAGCAGGACAGAGGCCTGGCTGCAAACCTGCATTTTTCAGCAAGGTACAACCAATCAAATGTATCCTTATCGCCGCACTCTTTAAAGAGATCAAATCACTGAAAAACATGGTGGTGGTAAAGCAAAAAGGTTGCTTTACTGCTAAAACAACTTTTGATAAAAAAGTCCCATCAGTCAAGAGCTGCCTTGCTCAGCCACCACTCGTGTAAAACCACTTAAGGACTGCACAAGACTTGGCTGTCCTTCTTGACTGCGCTCTATGGAGGGTTCTGTCTTTATAGCTGGACAGTGCTTTATGTGACCAGGTCTCCAGTTTCAACTAAGACATCAGTATTATGACATAAATGAAGTCAAAAAGTATCTGAAATCCCACCACTTACTTGGCAGTGGTTTAGCAGAAAGCGTGTAGCAGGAAGGAAATCAAACAAGACGCAAGAGCAGGAGGCCTCAGGAGGAGAGGCACAGATCAGCCCCTCCAGCCTCCAGCAGTACAATGTGTCCTGACCAACAGGTCCTGACAAATGCTCGCCGCGATGAGCGCGGGAGACACCTGCTGGACTGACTCGCTTGATACAAGCTCAGCTTCTGTATCACGCAATAAAAGCGGTACAAACCCAGCACATTTTAATTAAATAAAAAAAGCTGTAAAACATATACTCTTAAAAAACCCTGAGTCTTACTATGAAAGTTTGTAAGATGGTATTTTTCTCTGGAACACATTTCTGTTGTTTTCCTCCTTGCTGATGCATACTCCTGTGCTACGCTTGAGCAGCACTGAGCATTGCAAGTGCTACGACCTTTCCAGCCGACGCCCCAGTGTGGCTTCTCCTCCTCGTCCAGGTGACTGGATGAGATGCTTAGTGCTCTCCCAGCAGCCAGTAAGGCCAGGCTGAAGCCTGCGCTCCACACACAGCTCATTCTGCAACCCGGTAACTCTTCTTTTGCCTGCACTGTTCTCTCCATCCAAGGGTCTGCGACAAAGGCACGGTGCTATGCCTACTCACAAGGATTGCCTGCGCTGGATGTCAGCGCTCTGCTAGGTGCCAATGCCTCTGTTGTCCGTGGGGCCTGCTTTGGAAGGCGAATGGGAACATATACATTTGAAGCACAGTGTTCCTTGAGGTATTCTCCCCCTTTTTCTTCATAGTCTTTTCTGGTTATCCAGCCTTCCTCGCGGGTCATGTGTTCCACTGCCCAATCCCTAGCCCCATACCAGGCATCTAAAACAGGACTGGAAGCAAGGTGAACCTGGATGGAAGGAAAACAGATCATCATCATCAATTCAACACAAGAGAAAAGCCCTTTTTACCCTGATTACAGTAGCATATAACACAAAACCACTGAATTTTGGAAGTTTGAGCTGACTATTCAGTGCCTCTGGGGAAGAGTAACAATAGGAATGGTTTTGAAGTGTGTTTTCACCTTGAGATCAATAGTCCATGAACCTGCTGTGTTTCTACAAGTTGAGAAAGCACATAAGTGTATCACACTCACAAGCAACAGCCCTCACAGCCGGAAGAGTTGGTGGTACTGCAAAACAAACATCGAGTGCTCCAGCAAAACTTCCTCCTTGCTTGAAGTAGCAGGGAGGAATACTGCAGGCGAAGAAATCGCCCTGTGTGGGAAAGGGCCACACGTACTCCTTCCAACAGTGTAGATTCATACTTCCATTTAAATTATTCCTATTACTGTAGCATGAACTGCTTTCCTGGTTCAGGTATGGGCTTGCTAGACTAGACACCACATAAATCCCACGCGCAGTCTCTCTAAAGTGACAGATTTCTGATAGGACCATACTACAGACCACATTTTAATGCAAAAAAGGAAGCTCTTATTCAGTTACAAGCAGCAACATTAAAAGCAGATGAAAAAGCACTCTTTTTCTTTCTATAGACACAAGTTACATACTCAAAACTTAGCAAGATCCTTCCTAAAACTACCAAGTTTGGCTGTAACTAAGTTTGTCAGTCACACTTGGCTCACAGCTACATACAGTAACTGTACAAAACAAGGAGTGCGGAATCACAAGATTATATTTGCACTGATTTTTTCTTCTTTCCCCAGTTTCTAACCTGATCTTCTATTCAAGAAGTTAGATTTGAGAAGACAGGGTGGTTTCAGAACAGCAAGGGAGACTCTCGCAAGCGTCCTTAGAAAATGCATGGCAAACTCTGGACTTCCCAGCTTGTACTGTGCTTGCTACGAAAAACGTAGCAAGGGATCACAGGTTTGTAAGATACCCACTGAATCACTTTTGCTGCTGTCCCAGGCAGTCATTACATGTAACACATTAAATGTGCAACTTCGTTTTGAAGTGAGCACAGTTTTTCCCAGCAACTACTCCTAGCAAAGGTTCCTTCTCCAGACAGTAACTGTCCCAATCCTAAATAAATCAATCTGTGAATTTCCAGTCAAACATGCTTTTGTGTGCATGGTCCTTTAGCTGAAGCAGGTTTTCCTTTTCCAAGGCATCTACCCTACTCTCTCTAATGTCTTCAGAAAGAGCAACGGTATCTTTGCTTAGCCTTCATTTTCTCAGGTCAAACCAGCTGTTTTCAGTGCCTTGTTATAAACCACTCTCCATTCCCATGCTCTAAGGACACTTGCTCTGTACCTCTCCTAAACTGAATTACTTTTGAACACTGATGAACAGACTGTTCATGTAACCATCATGTCAACACATGTACCTGAAAAGACGACTGGAACGGCCTCATTTCGAGGAGCTCCTTCTGGACTCTGGCTTTCAGTCCAGGGTACATTGTATTTCCACCAGTGAGAAAAACATTCTGGACAAGAATAGCTTGTTGCTCCTTTGAATACCTACAAGGAACAAAAAACAACTTCAGTCTTTCTCAAGGACATCTCTCCCTATGAACCAAACAACCAGGGTACATCATATTTCCACCAGTGAGAAAAACATTCGGGACAAGAATAGCTTGTTGCTCCTTTGGATACCTACAAGGAACAAAAAACAACTTCAGTTTTTCTCAAGGACATCTCTCCCTATGGGGCAATACCTTGTCTTCAGGATTTGCTTTGAGAAGCTTCCTTCACTTCCCTAGCACGAAAACTTGTGTTCATTTGTTTTCTGGAAATTTTATGGGGTGGCAGAAAAAGAGTCCTTAAAGCATTCTGTGCACTGTACCCCACAAATCAACAACTCAGCATTTTTTTGAAATGCAAGAATTCCAGCTCTACTATCTTATATGCTCATACAGTTCAGGGGTGACATTTTGCTAATGCTAAGTTGTCTGGAAATAGCTGTCCAGCAAGCGTGCCTATATCATAAATTAAAAATGTCACCCCTGATTTTGGTCTCACAGAAACAGAGACTGCCAGCTCACTGTTTCAAGGGATGGACATTTGCAAGGGTTTTTTGTTTCTCTCTGTAACAAGTTGGACCAGGGGTCTCCGAAGTGTGGTGTGAGCAAGACAATCCACTAGTGTGCAGGAAGAAGATATTCTTTGTACCACTAATAAATAAATAAATTAAAATAGTGTTTATTTCACCTTTATCTCATCCTTTTTTTTAAAATTTCTATTTCTGTGTACATTTTAAAATGTAAATAACATACTATTTCAGTAGTACCTGTATGCAATTTATGAATATACATATGTTGGGGAGGGGGTGTGCTCAAAAATTTTTTACTAATGGGGTAGTCAATCAAAAAAGTTTGGAGACCACCAACTTAAGACAAGCAGAGTTACACATGGTTTTCGTAACAGGAAGACATGTTTAACCTGTAATGCTCAACCCCACCAAAAAGAACTATTCAAAGATATTTTCTCATATTATTGTTAACTACTCAGTATTGCAAAAGCTGACATCAAACTAAGACTAGCTTATTTGAACTAAGTGCCAAGTAGCTTTGTAAACTCACCTCTCAAGGACATATTGCATGGTTTCTGCTACACCAGCCTGGTCTTCTCCTATCAGGGAGGGCTGGAAGACAATCTCTGGAGCCCTGATTCTTTCAGTGCCAAGGAAAAGCTGGTGGTACTCTGCCAGGTTAAACACGGGCTTTAAAAAGATGAGATTGAAAAGTGGTGGGAGATTATGTATAAGTTATATAGAAATATTCTAGACAAGCAAAGTTTCTAAACAATTCTGTACAATAAATAGATCGTCATGCTCTCACAGAGAAAGGGCCATGCTGTAAAAAGTTCCAAAAAGCCAAGGAAGCTGGACTTTTCCTATACTTGATTCTGTTTGGTGCCACTCAATCTTAAGGTTCAACCTCACAGGTTGAAAACTGTGTCCACTGGGATGCGATATTGAGCTATGGCTCACACACGAAGAAACTTGAGCAGAAGTTTTTTTCCCTAACAACATGGCACTTCTACAACAGGCACTGTTTGCAGAGTGGGCCAAGTGGGTATATTCATGCTCTAAACCATCAGCTAAGACTGCAAGGACTTCTCTCAATGTCCTGTTCAGATAGTTTAAGCATCTCTTCCAAGAGCAGGCAAACAATGTTATCATTTGGACAAATGTTAGCAGACTAGCTGGACAATCAGGAGGCAGCAACCTCTGGCACAAGGTGTAGATCTAGAAATCAAACCTGCACTGCAGCAACAGGCTTCTCAACTTCAGGCTGTTCCTCAGCAAATAAAGGTTCAAACTCATTAATACTTTCCACATCCTCCAGTGATTGTTCACTGCCTAATGGATCCAAATCAGGAGTCTGGAAACAGAGAAGGTATATTAAGGTAGGTTAGCTCAGGTCTGCTAGGAACATATGAGACTTAATTCTGGTGATACGTTTGGAAAATTCAACCCCAATTCCCTCAAATCTCAACTCTTTAACATGCCTGAAAATGAATATCCTGTTCTCCAGCACTGAAGACAAAAATGAAAATGGTGAACAACACAGAAAACAGGACTTAAGCCAGATATTGACTCAAAGTATAAAAATCAAACACTTCCAATGAATTTATCATGATGCCACCTCAGAAATTAAAGGCTTCAATCAACAGTCTGACTGCCAAGATCCTAGTCAGACATGTCCTAAATATAACAACATACTAAATTTTTAAATTGGTTAAAACTTGATGCACTCCCAGCACCTCCAACTGCTCTATAATTACCATTAAATTCCCTGCCTTGCTTGTGTGGGACTGGAAAATAAATATTTGCTAGCTACAAAGCCACCACACAATTTTTGACAGTTTCAACCACCCAGTATTTGCACACAGGATATACCAAAAGCCCTTGTATTTTACACAGATGTGAAGGTGCTCCCAAATCCCCTAACCAAAAAGCATCACTCACTTAAGAGTACTTCACTCTTGTGAAGTAAGAGCAGCTGTTTAATTACTGTCTTTATTGTTACAATATTACCTTTGAGATTTTGTTGCTACAGATTTGTTCTTGTTGTTTTAAACTTGAAACATTTGTTGCAATGTCTAGCAAGCAATACCAGGATGCGATAAAACCAGATCATTTAAACATTCTGAATTATCTAGTGTAGGTCTGCTTAAAAACAAAGCAATTACTCAAACTGAACTTAAGCGCTGATCATTGTTAGAGCAAACAAACTTCAGGCGAGTACCATTACCTCCAACACTTTTATGTCTTTTTATGTCTCAAAACCTAGCAACAGAAAGAAACATAGGACTCTGCTGAACAGTTGGCACAGACCCTAGGACAACATAATTAGCTTTTAGTCGCTGTTACACAGCCACAGAGGGATGGCCTATATTCAGAAAGAGTTTTGGTGATAATTGTAGGCTCTCTCACAAAGCACAGACCAAACAAAAAGGCTTGCAGATTCATTCTGAGGTCTGAGACTACGCCTAGTAAAGAGCAGCATGGGATCCCAACCAGGCGTGTTGGAACTTAGGCACAACCGTTGGGCAAAATTACAAGGAACTGACAGTCTTTCAATTATCCCTTTCTAGAACACCTTCTTTTGATATAAGGCAGGAAGTTTCTTTACCACAGTGGTAAGCCCATGATCTACCTCAATTTTGCTCAAATGCAGTCATTCTGATTCTTACACAAACTTCCCTGTTAAGGATAGGCAAAAATATAACCAAGCAGATACCAGCTCCCCAGCTACTTTTGGCTACACATCAAGTTCCATATAAGACAAGAACTCCCTATATCTGGCACTGCTCTCCTCTATGCCTCAATTTTCCATTTTTCTCTACCTTTTCCTGAGCAAAGTAATATAATATAGTATATTACATATATAAGTAAAAAAGCTCTATCTTATGTGACTTGAAATGCAATTTCAAGTAAATGCATGAACAGCCTTAAACCATCTCCTAGAAGCAGCTGCTATGTACTGGGCCTGTATTACTCTGGCAAAGCAGACAAATAAGATTCTCATCAAGGCAACTCCAGCAACCAAGCGTAGCAATTAATCTTTCATTGTTAAGAAAACAAAATAGAACATGCTGCTTAATTGCACCAAAAAATAGCCAAAATGAAGGCAAAGGGTTAGTTGTTTACCACGAAGTTCTCTGCACCCAAAAGGGAAGAACAGAAAGGAAAACAAATACTGTTTTTAACACAAAGCTTGATAGGTTCTTCTACGTCTTTAATCCAAGGCTAGAGACACTGAAGGATGATTGTCTGAGGATTAGAACAGCTTGAGAAGAAAGTACTTAAAATTCCATGTCATTTAATTGTCAGACACTGAAAAAAAAATATCCCTAACGTACCAGGCCCACTTATTTCACCAAAATTTATGCCAAAGCAGAGTTAGAGGTTGGTTTAAAGTATGGACAAAATCATTATGTTACTGCTGCTTTTACAACCCCCCATGCAAGTCAACCTTAAGTAAGGACAGGGGCTGGCATACACTGACAGCAGTAAGTACAAAGGGAAGCAGCATCTTCAATGGTACCTTCTCTGACCCATTAGGGCTATTTTCTTTTCCTCCAACTTCTTAAAGATGTGCAGGAAACTTTTAAGGAAACTTTCTGGTGTCGTATAACTGTATACTTCAACCACTGTCAGGAAGCCTAGAGATTATGCTTAGAACTATATGGAATCAAACTATAAGTATGTCCCACAGCACAGCACAGAAAGGGTTACTGATTTCAGGCATACTCTATAAAATCAAAACTGTCACTTTCTGTAGCTGCATAGGAAAGCTGGAAAAGAGAAAAGCAGTTACCAAATTAATGAGTTGCAGTGTGTTAAAAGAAAAGCTTAGTTCATCAAATCTGAAGGGGCACATTTTCAAGCATAGAAATTTAATTCTTTCAGAGATAAGAGGAGGATTAACCTGGTGACAATGTTATACCTCTGGCTTGCTGTCCACAACATCTACTTCAATATTGACTTCTGCCTGTAGGATTTTCTGCTTCGCCTGTTCAACAGACAGACTCAATTTGTTGATGTAAGACTGAAGTTCTTCTGCAGAGTCCATGTTCAGCTCCACCAAAGCTTTGTGGAATTGATCCATTTGACCGTCTTCTAAAAGTTCCTACAAACAGATCAGTTAGCTGTGATGAGCAATACAGGGTAATCAAATATCTGGCAACTGTGCATGTACTGACACTTTGTCTTAACTACTAGATATTATGATGTGCACGCTTCAGCAGCATTCAAAATATTTCACAAAAGAAGTACTGTTCAGAACCTCTGCATCAATGCTCTCTCCCTTTTATCTTGCAACTAACCTTGAGAAACTCCTAGCAGAAAACACACAGGACAGTTGTAGCTTCTTTACAGTGATGCATGACCTTCAGATAAGGCTCGGAGAGCAGCCTGCCCTCCTCCCAAAAGATCATGCATAAAACGTTGCCTTGATTACCTGTACATACAGTAACCTGTCCAGCCTCTCTTGGTCAAGTTGCAGCTTCTCTTCTCGACGACGTGCATTGAGTTCTTGAAGTCGACGTAATTGCTGCTGCCGCCTCTCCTGCTTTTCCTCTGATGTCAGAGTGCTTCCCAGCAGTTTGTTAGAGAAAGGCAGCTGCATCTTGTGCATATTGTTCTCGTAGTACTCTGGGGACCGCCACTTCTGTAGCTCTGAATGTTTTGAAAGCAAAATAACTGTTTTGCCAGGCTGAAAATGATTATTTCTATGTTGTATGCATTCCACGCTAAGTTCAGACTTAGAAGAAAGAAGACAACAACAGTCCAGCCTAGGATTCTGTCACCTCTTAGCAGCTGCCCCCATATTTAGCTATCCCCTCAGAGCACCACCTTCTAGTCACATACTCAGTGCACATGGTTCTTAGTGCTCTGATCTCAGTGCGTAGAAAACACAATGTACTAAGAAGTGGGAAGGGCATGCTAATGTCTCTTCTCTCTTCCCAACACAAGTGATAGTTCTCACTCAAAGGTTCCTGGAGGCTCTTTCGTAAGTGACACATTTAAGAAAACACTTTTCTTCAGCCACTACTTGAGATGACATTACCATGGAAATTTTACACTTCTTTAATTCACAAAAAGTCATGAGAAGCTTCCTCTGCAACTTTGGAAACCTTAAACCAGATAAGAAACATGGCCAGATGCAGAAATCATCCTAACCAATCTAATATTTTGTTGGAAGTATAGAGTAACTAATAAAATAAACTCATTCTAAATTCTTTTCCTCTGAAATAATCCCAATTTTTATTCACAGAGAAATTTGAATGAATATAGATTTTTTTTTTATATATAATTTAATTTTGTTTCTACCTTAACGTTAAATTCAAAACTGTTGTCAAGTATTTCCCACGAGGTGGATTACCAGAAAGACAGCTATAAAGAAAGCAAAATAGTCATGGAGTATTCCTGCCAGAATCCCAGCCAGCTTGAAAGCAAGGGCTATAGAGGACAAAACTAAGTTTGGATGAACACTATCTAGTAAATTACAGCTGGTTTTACCTTCTATATAGTCCTCTGCGATGTAGCTATGCTCATGCAATATTTCCTCCATACGACTGAGAGTGATGGCAGCAAAATGTCCTGGGTACTTCAGCTGAAGGAGGCGTTGCAGATATACAGCTGCCTGACACCCTCCAAGGTTAATACGTTTGCAGTTTTTAGCATCCAACCTGAAAACCCAGAGAGATGCAACTGAGACTGGAGACATCCACAAGTTCAGCATAAAACAAACCTCCTACTTTCCAGGTACTACTTAATTTCTGATATGGTCAAGTATACAGGTGAATATTCACAGATAAATATTTCAAGATTCAGTTATCAGAGAATGTAACACATCTGCTTTTCTCAGACAACAAGCACAACCACTGCTTCGGTTTTTGCAGATACTTTCTGAAAGGCTCTGTTCTGCTTTAAAAAAACCCCAGACATTAAATAATTTTGCCACAGCAAGGAAATGTTTCTATTTTAAGAAGGGAAGTGATGGTTAGTGGATCTAAAAGTATTCCCTTTAACCTTTGTAACATTTCACAGTTGGCCAGGTGTAACCCTTGAAAATTTGAAGCATCTGCCAGATATCATAAAGCCATTTCCTGCAGTAAGGAGCAGCATAATTAGAATTTTTAATTCTAATTTAATTTTATAAAAGCTTCAAGAACTGTAGGAATCTCACAGAGCACTTTCTTTTGTCCCAAAGCTGCTTTAAAACCTAACATGTTTTTTCACATCTGATCTTACTTGGGGCAGATACCCCCTTCTATTTTTTGAAAGTATGGATCTATGGATGAATAGTAACTAAAAATACGACACAAAGGACAGCACTGCTTCTTTCGTTCAAAACTCAACAAAACTTAGCAAAACCCAATCCTTGAGGTCCCTTCCAACCTAGGATTCTATGATTCTATGAAAACCTGCAGACCTAGTTTTTCTCTTCAGCATAAATTAAGACCTGATAAGAGTTTATACTGCAGGAGTTGGAACACTGAATGCTAGAGGAACAGGTATTTGCAACACTGAAAAGTCAATGACTGACAAAGAGAGGCTGCACCATACTTAAGACACCAAGAACTCACCTGCCTTCTAAGACCGGCAAAATATGCGTACACTGATAACCTGAAGATATCACCAAACCACTGCAGGGCCAGTTCTGCCTTCTGTTGTGGTAAAAACTGTACAAGCTATCTACGCCATAGGACACTTTTGGCACTTGATAACATTCAAAGAGGAGCTCTGACATCATTTGTCTTGAATACAGAGGATTGCACACTGCTTCTGTCAAAACAATTGGATGATCAACACAACCCTGTAAGAGACAAGAGAAAAGAAAAATAATGAAGGTATGGAGGGAAAATCCTTGTTTCTTCTTTTGAACATCAGCAAGAACTCCTCCAAAGCAGCAATGAGAAAGCACTTTACACGCAGTAAGTTAAATTGTATCTAGTGCTTAAGGGGGAAAAAAAAGAAGTCTTGTCTACAGCAGGGCTTCCAATGTTAATTTGACCAAAGAATAAACTCCTAAGCATGGAGAAGAATGAATTTTTAAAAGCCTATAAAAATTCTTAAAAATCTAAGTTACTAAAATCTATGCAATGAGGAGGCAAAGCGTGGGTGAAAACTGGTGGAAGTTTAGTTCCGCACTAGGTAAAGCTTTCAAACTGGTGTTGCCACACAGGCAAAAGGCTCCATGGTCTGAGAAACAACTCTTAGCTCGGTAGGCTATACAAAACAGGTAGTCAACGAGCACTACACAAAACTAATGTTGCTTAACGTCCTTCTCAAAAGCGGATTCTGGACACTGGTTCTCGGCCACCGCCTGACACGATGCTGCAGGCCAAACCCCTCGCCCTGCAGTTGTATCCTCCCGCTTCCATTTTACCACAAAACTATGAAGAAATTAAATGAATAACGGGGTTCAAAAGTCCCCCCCGGGGAGCACCTGGCCTGGCCAGGGTCGCCGCGGCAGGGTGCTCAGGGCCCGTCCGCCCGGTATCTGCGAGGAGGGGGAGGACACAACGGCCCAGGACAGCCAGGGGCGATGCTGGACCCCGCCATCCCCACTACGCGCCCGGGCACAACCTCTCCCTTCAGCCAAGCCCCCCACAGGGCCGGGCCTGGTTTCGCCGGCAGCTTCAGGGCCTCACCCCGGCCCGGCGTCCCCCTCTCCCCGCCCGGAGGGACCTGCGAGGCCACGCCGAGGCGCTGGGAGA